AGAGGACCATAAAGCTCACCAGCTATCTTCTGGAAAATAATATATGGTAGCCATTTATCAATGTTCAAAGAAACGTAAGTCAGCAGGTTAAAATATATATTCAAAATATGATTCATATTTTCTTAAATATTTGCAAAAGTAATACAACTATTAGGGGAGAACTATTATACTATTTTCATAAACGGCAAGTTATTCTATGTCATTGTTTTGGAAATGATCCTGATAGTGTTCAAATGACTTGATGTAATATGAAAACCCATGGTATATAGTTCTAGATGAAATCAATTTCGTAGTTTGAGTTTATTGAGCTTGAAATTCAAATTCTATGATCAATTGTGATGCCCCAAGCATTTGTCTGTCAGGACAATTAAGTCTGAATGGTCTGACAAGTATGGCTGCCCACTGTGCTGAAGGGCTATTTACTAAATATAAACTAAGAGATGTGATAATATAGTATCGAAGGAAGCAATGTAAGCACTGCTCCACTACATTTTGAATATGGTCATCACTCTTTAGGATTCATAGTTTACTCTCTTCTATTTGAACAGTTTGTCAACTAGAAAATAAGAGGGTCACCCCTGGTGAAACATAAGATAGATACCACTCTATCACTCTAATTTTATAGCTGAAGAAAAAAATGAAGTAGAATGATGATGATTTTGATTTTGATGGCCACCCATCTCATCTAAGTAACTTTGGGCAGCTCACAACATTAACAATAAGCTCACCTGGGGGAAATTGATCATCTTGACAGGTATCATGGATTCCAGCAATCTGAATTAAAACAGATTGTACAGATTAATAGCTAGAAAGAAAGCATCTGATTACTTAGACAGCCATCCCATTTAAACATCTGTTGGTTTCCCTAGCAAATAAAGTAGGTTATGAAAAAAAATGTAAGAATTGATATAATAGAAGCAGAATTATCTCTCCATACATAATCTTTACACAGCGATGCTCATATCAACCCTATGCCTTAAGGTGAAGCAAGGAAAAGAAGAGAAAGGTATGACTAATTCATAAAGTTGCATTTCTTGCTGTTTTTCTGTGATCAAGACAATGGTCACAGAAGCGATGGGACCCAGAAATGAAGTTTCTTAATTTTAATTATTAGTAAAGTAGGGACAGATTAATAGAACTTTGAATCAACATTTACTGGATAAAACTGCTAAGTCAAATACATCTGTTACAATTAATATCCTATAGTTTTGCAGGTCATTCTTTCATCTTCTGTTTTTTAAACACTCTTTGAAGAAGGAAAACAGAGCTAAGAATACCTTGAATACCCCCCCCCCCACTTGTGTAAAGGCTTGAAAAAGACTTGCAATAGAAAACAAAAACAAAACCATTTCTAAGCCTGGACAATATTTATGGAATTGAATAGCTTTTTTTTTTCATTAGCACAAAACAATATCAATGATGGATAAATGCTTTTATTCACAATGACAGCTCTGTAATGAACATAATTAAACTATTAATTGAACTGTTAATAAGGAGCACCTCTATGAATGGCACTGATAGATAAGGCAGCTGATAGGTTTACAGGCTTGCTTACCTGTTCCGAACTTGGTTTGGCTCAACGTCAAAGTAGGGCCGGAGGATATCAATATTAGCATAGAGGTTGAAGGCTTTTGAGGCTTGTCTCTTTCCAGCCTGCCACATCTTAAAAAAGAGAAAATATTAATTAAACATGCTCTCTTTCTCCTTCTGAAGAATTAGAGAACTTTTAAAAAAAACCCAAAACCTGCAGATCAAGATCATTTCTAGTACACTACATCAAAGCAGAATTACTTAGTACAGGATTATAATGTAGAGAAAGATACTATAGGTCTAGATATTTTCCCCCTTAACTCCATGAACAAGATTTACTTTACTTCTGACATAAGGAAATAAAACCAATTTTTCATAGATAATAAGTATTGACTATGCAATTTGGTTAATACACTCTGCTAAACCATGTTTTGATTAAACTTAATTTATTGCTGAAATTGAACGGTTAGAGTCAAATGATACCCTAACTTATAAATCACAATAATATCGTTTGTACAGTATGGCATGAGTCTTATCTAATGATTCGAGATTTTGGGTGGTAAAGATGTCCCATATATTTTCTATGTAAACCACATATTGCTGATCTAAAAAAGACAGACATAAATTTAAGATCAATATTGTATTCCTCCAATTTTGAGCATAAACCAATCTGGAAGCCGTTAGAATGTGTAGCATCAAATAGAGTATGCCTTTGTCATATTTCTGCGTTGTTATACCTAATAGGAAAAATTCTGGTTTTAACTCTACCACTCGCTCTAGTATTTCTTCCAACCATTCTTTAACCTTAGTCCAAAAATCACAAGCTCGCGGGCACTCCCACCACATATGATAGTATGTTCCAATTGCCAGATTACATTTCCAACATTTAAAAGAAATGTTGGGACCCATTTTAGTTAATCTTATGGGTGGGAGATGCCATCTATAAAACATTTTATAGAGGTTTTCTTTGTAAGAGGTGGCCAGAGTAAGCTTCTTATTCCTTGCCCATAATTCTTGCCAGATGTGCAGATCGAAGTTTAAACCAAAATCCTTACTCCATTTTAACATAGTTACTTTTACTTGTTCTTC